GGCAGCTGAAGTCCATCACAGCTGTCACAGGAACATACGCACACAGCCTGGGCTGGAGGTGGATTCTGGCTCTGGAGGGAGGCTGGGCAAGTGGCCAATAAGCCTCTCTTACTTGCCCATGTTTCCCTTTGGGGAAAGGGATTCCTGGCTTAGCATGACTGGAGATGGCTCTGGGGAGCAGGACGGCACCAGGGAGCATTGGCATTCATTCATCCCAGGTGCAGCCCACCCAAGAAGATGCTAACTCCATTAATTGAGTTTGCCAGGGCCTTGTGGCCGGTCTTGATTTCTTTGAGGTCACTGGCATAAGTCCCATCGGCTCAAAAAGCAGCAGTTCTCCTGTGTTCTTTTATGCAAGAGCAAACAGGCTTCCTGGGAAGGGGGAAATAAGAAGGGAAATTGTCTCCATCCTTTATTTACTTCCCTGCCTTCTGCCCTTGTCACCCCCTCCCCCTTACTTGTCCACCCACTTCTCATGCCTCCAAGAGGACATTTCTGCTCCAGGACATGGTTGTTCTTGGGGCTGTGGAGGGGTCACTGGGTCTGACTGGGATGTCACTGGGGCTGTGCCCTTTGCCTCTGAGGAGGGCAAAGCTGCTGAGGTCCAGATTCTTCCTGGTGATTTCATGTGATAGCTAATTAATGGCCTCCCCACGTTTCCATGGCAACTCCATGCTGTGCTCTTAGCCCTGATCCAAATGGGCATTCTGTACACTTCTGAAGCCGTAGCATCAGCATATTAAAAAGACTTGCTGACGTCCTTTGCTTTCTGCCACATCGGCTGGTGAGTCTAAATTTGAATAACTTAAAAAAAGCACATTTCTTAGTAAGCTCCCAGTGCATTCTCTCATGTGACTTGAAGCAACTGATCCCAGAATTCTTCTGCGTTTGAAGGGAAGAAACAGGTAGATTCTGCTCTACCTGCTGCTTTTTGCCATGCTTTGCCTTTGGGACACCCGGCATGTGGCTTTTCTTTTTTCTCTGGGTTGTTTGGAAGCTCCAGCTTTCATGCAGTCCCTAATTTAATTGCAGCAAGGGGCAAGTATCTGCCATGATTTGGCAGGACCATCTCTGTATTAGCTGAGCTGGACAATCTTATGGATTGCTCCCTAACTCCTTCTTGTACAGAAGAAGGAAGCTGAGTTTCATTCTTGTACAGTCCAAGAATGGTTACTCATATTTCAAAGTATGAATGTCCCTTTTATCATTAAACTCTATAACAATACCTACTGATCACGCAGTTTAGTGAATCTGGTTTTATGGGTGAAAGGATTCTCTGGGCCCCACCTAATTCTCCTCTATTAATTACCCTCCATTCTAGTCATTGTCTTGTAAAACATCTTCTTCTGACCAAGCGGAGGATGTGGGCATAATTTCCTCAGAAGCCCATTAACACCACCGTAGCACTGGTGTGGCATCTCTAGAGGGCTCTGAACTACTTTTTTTTAATGGAGACAGAAGTATGCCAGATGTCTCCACATCTTCTATTGCCTGCAGAAGAAATACCCTAAAACAAACCTGTGGGATCTGGTTCTGGATCTGGCTTCACAGGCTGTCACCTTACCTAGGAAAGGGCTTATGGGACTGAGCAGTGGAAGCAGAGCATGTGCCCTGTTTGTGGCAGACATTTCTTTTCTAGCATCAAAAGCAGTGTGTAGCATGGTCCAGGCCACATTTGATTGGGCTGGTGGTTTTGTTTTTCTTTTTTCTCTCTGACATAAACTTTGAGCCCAAAAAGGTGGCTGAGCTGCCCAATAGTTTCATTTTCCCCTGCCCTGAAGGACAAGGGAATTTATTCTTGACATTTTGGCTTCTTTCCATCACAAAATTTCATCTAGCCATGTTGCAGCATGGCTCCAGATTGTTGTGTTGATGTGCCACCGTACCCTGGTGCCATGTTGCACCATCAGGTACTCCCAAGGTAAGTTCCATAGGCTGACAGCATATCTATGCCAAACTTCCTTCCATCTCCCTACGCTGGTTTTCTATGCTCCAGCTTCACCGCTCCCAGCCATGGTGGAAACGCTAGCTCATGGTAGACAATGCCTCTCTAACTCCACAGCTGTCTACCATTGCTTGGGTCTGAACTGGACAGCAGTGATTTAATGTTCTGTTGGCGCCCAATGTCTTGCTTAAGGTTTGCAGTGTTGCCCCCCTTGCTGAAGCCTAGTAATACTGGGGGCTGATCATCCCAAGGCATCATCAAAGATACATGAGAGCAATTAATTCGATCCCTAACAGTCCCACAAATACGGGGCAAGATTTAGCTAATGTGTTGCTAGTTACCCACGAGATCTGAGATTTAATTGCAACTTCTTTGGCTTCTAGTCACGAGAGCTGGATACTTATCTCATAGGAAAGCAATTTATCAAATTAATTTCACTTTGTGTTAGCACGTTCACTATTCCCAGCCATGAACAAATCCCATCACTGAATGCAGACTGCATCTCAGGCTATAGGTTGCTCGTAAGCAGTATTCAGTATTTTTAGAGCAATAACTATAGTTCTTTTCAGCGTCAGCTCTTTGGGTCATACATGTAAATTAAACAGTACATTTCTATTCCCTGCTTGGATAGATGTAACTGTCAGGAACATTATTTCCACTCATAATTACAAATTTGACATTCATTTCCCATGAATACTCTCTACTATTTGCTTAAAACTAACTTCCACACATACTATTGCTGGTGAATTTTCTCTTATCAGAAAGCTGACGCAGGAATGTCACAACTATAAAGAAATCTCTTTGAATGGTGGGGTCTATAAGCACGAACCTCTACTACACGAAGCAAAGACCAATCAAATGAAAAACAAACAAATGAACGAACTGGGAAAAGTAGGCAACCTTGCAACCTCTGGGCTGACCAGTAGAGATAGAAAGAGATCTCAATGCAAATTAGAGAAAACACAAAGTTACTACCAATGGAAATCGATGGATGTTCCTAGGAACATCTTTGTTGTTTAATTCATCCAGCTCTTCTTCAGATGCACGCACTTCCCCACCTTTTGGTAGGCAGACGGGGACTGATGTATGCTTTTGTGACTAGGACTCCTTTTTGTTTTCTTACTAACTACCCAGGTAGTTTCTCTTATGCCCTCAATTGCTAGTTCAGTAGGAGAGTTCAATGAATGTATATTTTCCTTAAGGTATCTAATTCCTTCTCAGTTTGGATGAGCATCAACCAAACCCACACAAATTAAACTAAACCTGAAGCCAAGCTTAATTGTCTAAGTCCCTGGTGTCACATGAATAACACCACAATGCTTTTATTTCTTTCCAGAAGAACGGATGTTATTCTCAGAATCTGACTGAAATTCTCCAAATAAGAAGGTCAAAATTTCTACAAGACTATTTTGAACTTGATTAAATCAACATGTTAAATCTCGAGCCAGATCTAAATCTTGGACTTTGGATCAGGACTGCTGATCCCTCCTGCTCACGCCTGGTTTTCCCCAGGATACTCCTCCAGCTCTAGAAGCTGGCAGAATCAGAGATTTATTTCTCCCTTTTAGGAGGGCAGAAATTCTAGTCTCTCCCTAGCACTTCTCTCAATCAACTTTAACTAAAAAACAGTGAGGTTAAGAAAAACACTCCACTACTCACCTCCCACTGTGTTCTGGCTTCATCACCCAGCTCAGCTGATCCTACAATTCATACACTCCATTCAATATATTATTTTTTTTAAATCCAAACACACGTGAACACACACTCCACAAAATTTTACCCACCTTTTAGTTATTTTAGGGGTTTTTTTTTTGATAACTCAACCCTTTTTAATTTGGCTTTATTCTTGCAAATTCAGAGTAGATTTGGTTATTGTGCTGTTCCCTCCCACCCCTCCCTTTTACTACTTTTGTGGATATTTTAATAAGATTTTCTCATCTGGTTTTTTGTGGACAAAGAAAGTGTAAGTGAAACAAGGATATTATTCACAGCCACAGAAACATAAGAAAGTAAAAGGGATTTTTTCCTTCCCCAAAGAACAAAAATGATATGTGTACCCTTCAGGTCTCCAGGTTTCCTTGGAAATGTATTTTCTTGCATTGTGCTTTGGTTTTTGTGGTGATGAGGGTTTCCCAGTGTTATTGGAAAACCCAGAACGTGAGGCAAAAAGCCAAACTCAAGTTTGCCTTTAAGTCTAGGTTTATCAAAGTGGTGTATGATTTTGGCTTTCTCTGTTTTAGGGGCTCTGTTGAAGTACCTTAAAGATAAGCGACTCTGAAGACTTACAGGTGCTGATCCTCAGGGGGTTAAGCTCTGACATCACTGAAGGCAACAGCAGTCCGTTCAGCAAAGTAGCCAAAGGGACGCAACGTGTCCCATTCTTCAGCAAGTGCTGAGACTCTACTTCTGGTGAAAAGTCTTCCAGGATGGAAATCCCAAAGTGAAGACACCTGAGACCTGCACCCACCCTCCACCTCTTATGTGTCTTCTCACCAATGAGGCATTAGTTTTACTCTTAAAGGACTGCCATCACCTTCTGTCCTCCAGCAAAGCTCAGCACAGGCTGCGTGAATAACTCAACGTAAAGCTGGCATAAATCTCAACAGAAGAAATATCTTTTATCTTTAACCATTTACTCCCACTATAGGAATAATGGCAGTTCTTTTACATTTACATATAACTCTTGTTTGTTTGTTTGCTTTGATTTTTTTTTTTTTTTTGTCTCTTTGTCTTGGCACCTGCATAGCAGAAAACTTTACAGTTCATTACAGAAGTTTGCCCCTCTCTCGGCTCCTCCCTTTATTTTCTCTGCTGCCCCTGAGGACTAGCAAGCAACACCCCCAAGGTCAAGAGAGAGTAAGGTGTTACCCTTTTATGACGGATTATAGAAATAACAAACATGCCTGACAGTTTTATACAGCTGCTAGAACGGGTTTAGTTTTCAACAAATGAAGAATTTCCTCTTTTTTTTCTCTTTTGTATATTAATTACATTTTACAAATCTTGGTTTTCCCCCTTTCTTTACTTTCCCCCCACTTTTCTTTCTTTTTACTTTTTTCTCTTTTTTTTTTTTTTCTCTTTTATTTTTTTACAGCAAAAGGATCGATCACCAATATGTCCACTGAAAAGTCCGGGTTAGCAGAGTTTGGCTGTCATCTGGTCTGACTGTTTGAGGATCTCGGTGTTGTACAGGTCTAGAGCGTGGTTCACACGGATGATCTCGCTGTTGGTGAGTTTCAGGCGGTGCTTGAGCATACAAGAGAACAGATCCAGCTGGGGCTTCCCTGGGGCCACGGGAGGTGCCAGTCTATTGATTCGGTCCCGAATATCCAGCAGCAAGAGCATGACGGAGGAGGAAGAATAGAACTGCCCACCTTGCGTGTACGACTGGTTGACCTGCTGCACAGCACTGCGCAGTAGGTCAGCGTTAAAACGCAGGCTGTAGCCATACACCTGCACATCCGAGATCTTGATGTAGAACTGACGCTTGGTGGGGTCAGAAAGGTCCACGGGCCCTTGGCCAGTCTCATTACGCAGCAGGGAGGGCAGCCGAGTCCGGCTGCGTAGGTAGATGTGGACGGTCTCGAAAAAGGTTTTCCACCGGTTGCCCAGTAGCAGGGTCCAGTTGTAGCACTGGCTGTTTTGGAGGCGGATTTTCTCCCAGCGCGGGTAGCCGTACTCCCCAAAGGGCATGTTCCAGCCCTCAGAGTGACTCCCGCTGAACGGGTTGACGTAGACAAAGAACATAGGGTCCAGGCTGCTGTTGCGCATCTGGCAGATTCGCATGGAGATCCCGATCACCATGTGGATGAAGTCCATCCGGTTCTTGTTGCTCTTCAAGGTGAGGGACATGCGTTTGCGCCACCTGGGGTCGAAGAAGGTGTCCAGGCGGATCTCGTTGCTGATGAAGGTGGTGTGCACATACAGGCGAGAGTCCATTTTCTGCAGCAGGTACTTCAGCTCTAGGTCCTGGAAGTCCAAGTCCGTCTCAAAGCTGATGAACTGCTCGCTCCGCTCCGAGTCTACGTTCTGAGGCTCGCAGCGACCCCGGTAAAGCTTATAGCCCTTGTTGCATGAGCCGCAGAGAGAGATGTTGGCAAGGCTGCACATAGCACAGCTGTTGTTGCCCCCTATGATGCAGGGGATGGGGCGCTGGCACAGGCTGGTGCCACCATGGCAAACACAGCTCCGTTGGCTTTCCAGAAAGGTCCCCCAGAACCCATTCTCGTTGCAGTAGAGCAAGGACTGGACCCGAGTAAGCCATTCCTGTATTGTCCTGCAGGTAGGAAGAATAAAGCATTAACATTGTAGAGCCTCACAGAGTCTTTGGTGTTGTCATTTTACTGGAGCCACAGTGTTCTCAGGGATATATCTAAGGCAGAGCTCTCAGAACATTGATGCCCTGCCATGGCATCTGGGAGCTATTCCAGTCTATTCTGAGACTGAATCTTTCATCTGCTGTTTACTCCTTTGGTGGAGAACAAAAGCCCTCTAAGAAATAGTTAGGATTGATCATCTGAAGTATCTCTATTCACACTGTTCTAGGAGCTGAGACTGGCACAGTCTCCCACCAACGATCCCATCAGTGCCAAAGTGACAAAGTTCAACCATGGGAATGGAGCTGATAAAGCCATGCCAGCAGCTGAGGTGCTATCAGACATTGCAAGTCAGCATAACTTCTAGGTGAGCAGGAGAAAACTCCTTTCCGTGTCATTGGCAATTCCCCCCACTCTCCAAAACCAGACCTGTAATGGGATGAGGCAAAGCCAGTAGTAACCTCTGCTTATGGTGCAGAGCTCAATAACAGCAGAAAAGAGGGCAGAAGTCAGGGTGCATAGAGACAGAACTGCTAGAACAGCTTCTCCTTTAAAAAACCTGCTGCTAATTAACCTCCTCTTACAGCCTCCCCCCTTAAAAAGCAGCCACACTTGCCCATTCCCAAGCCCCACCACTCCCATAATTGCTATATCAGCACCCTCACCTCCACGTCCTGCAGCCCTGGAATGACTCCTAATGAATGACACCGTAACCCACGTTTGCTTTTTGTATAACCCACTTGCAATGTTGCCTTGCTGCCCCCTCTTCCCCCCTCCCCACCACCCCGGGAAGTCTCAGCACAGCGACTCCTTTCTCAGCAGCCCTCAGCAGAATGCCCTGTTCAGCCGCCTGCTCCCTCCCCTCCGCCTTCCCCCCCAGCTAATGAATACTTCATTGTCTCCTCTGGGCAAAAAGTTCTTGGTAGCGCTGCAGTGAGAGGACTGGCTAATGACAAATTAGGATTCAGTCCCTGTAGAACAGGAGGAGTGATTATGGACAGAGGCTCTCAGAGCTGGATTAGTGAAATTCATGGCACCTGCATCGCCTGACCTCCGAATAATCATTAAGCTGTAGGCTGTATCAAAGAAGGCATTAAATGATATAGCAGCAAAGAACAGCAAGATGATTAGGGGGAGGGAGCAAGTGGAGGGATGAAAGTGTAAAACAGGAAAGCGCTAGAAGGAAAGAAATAATCAACAAGCAGAAGCAGAAAGGGTAGGGGAAGAAAGAGAGGGAAAATGTGCAGGTAAAAGGAAAAATGAGAGGGAAATGCAGTGGGCAGGAGGAATAGGGTTGGAGAAAGGGCAAAACTGAAACAACAGCAACAACTGAAAGACAGGACAGGCAGGAATAAAAAGAAGCAGGAAGAAACGGAGTGAAAGAAAAAAAAAAGAGACAGAGTGAGGAAGAAGGAAGTGCATTAGCACGAAAATTCTGAAGCCTTGGATGTGGGAAGAGATAATTTTCACAGTCCTCCTGTGGTACAGGGCTGCCAGGGTCTCTTTCCCCTATTCACATCTAACAGGAGCTCTCCTGCTAGTGGAAAAGAGAAGGTTGGCTGGTGAGCTCGGGAGCAAGGCAGTGACCTCTATAAATATCCGCTGTAGAGGGAGACGGTGACAGCCCTGGTCCCTGGAAGAAGCGCACAGGGCTCCTCCTGGTTTCTAGGACAGCTCTGCTTCAGGAGGGAGGGGACAGCACAGCAGTGTGACTGCAAAACACGTTGCTGACAGCCACAAGCACTCTCAAAACCATCCCCTAGGGACCGAGTCCCCCCTTCTGCTCATAGGTGAATTTTTGCTCACTTTTTCAGCAATACAAATATTTTTTACCCCATCTGAAGCCTTGCAGTTCCTGTTTGGAAAGCCAGCCAAATGCACTTGAATTTAGCAAGGCACCCAGATTCCAAGTTTCAATCTCCCTAAGGTGCTGTGAGCCCACCTTGATTCCTCCATGCACCTCCTTGAAAGCTTCTTTCTTTGCTTCTAACCACTAATCTAAGCATGAAGCTGAGGGATGATGAGCAAGTAGAGGAAGAACTAAAAGCAAAGCAACCCTCCAATATGCGCACACTGGCTGCCCGGGTTCGTTGGCCTGGGGGAATTGCTGAAGGGAAGCACAAGGTTCCTGCATGCTGCCTCTTCCCATGATTGGGCCTGATGACAGTAATGAAAATCAGAGGTTGCTTTGAAGGGAGTATCTCCTGTAGCCCCAAGCTTTGTCCCTAGCTCCTGCTGTAATTTCTACCGAGACCAGGACAGGGGGAAGCCCGGTAGCGCAAAGAAAATGAAGGCTGAGACAGCAGGCTGCTGGCAGACAGACGGTAAATGTCCAGCTCCATCAGGTACCCCCTCAGCACCCCTACCCCTGTCCGCGAGGGGAGGGGTATCTCCCTGATTTCCGCAGCTCTCTCCATGGTCAAGTTTGTTGCTTTTTGTGGTACTGGGCTTCCAGATGAGGTAGTAACTGTTGCTCATAGGACTAAAGGTGGTTTCTGAGGTGGGTTTGATGAGGTATTCGGCGCTGTCAGAGGTGTGCCTGTGTGCACGTACTGCCGCCACTTTTGTACGGATGCCAATAGCCTCATACAGCTGCATACGCAAACGACAGCCAAACACACGCTGAGCAACTACCGTGCACAGATCTCAATTCCAGCTCTGTGCAAGTGAACGTGGCTCTCCTGATCTCCTCATGCACTCGCTCGCACACAGGATTCCCAGTGTATTTGTGCAGTGCTGACTTGATGCTTTACACAGGTTTTACATGTTGATAATGCCATTGAGTTTGTGGGACAAGGACTACCAGGTTATACAACAGGGAACACGATAAAAATTAGAGTCAGATGACCATATCCTGTCTGTCTTAGGTGTGCTCTTAGAGGGAAAAAAATGCTATCCTTCTGTCCTTCTCTTCTCCTAACAGTCAGCAGAGCAAAACGAGAAAGGAGTCTCATCTGATATCTTGCAATCGAAACTTGTAATTTTCCTGTTCCCCAGATCAACTTTGTAGAGGAAAGATGGGAGGAGGTCAAGAGAAAGAGGGTTGTTTTTTTTTTGGAGGGGGTGTGTATATGTCTTAGCATTCGGCAAAGACACAAGTAGGACAAAAAAAAAATGCTACCCACCATCTGCTGATGGCAGCAATGAAGGACGTAATTAAATGAAAATGCAGAATCCAGGGCAGAGCTGGTCATCGGCTACAAACATGACAATCGGAAGTGTGATAGAGTGAGAGAGAGGAAAAGTGGTATAAATTACCCCGTTTTGTCTTGTAACTGGGACAGGATAAGAATATGCGCAGGACCAGTCACAGCCCTTCAGCTGACAGGAGGTAACTTCTTAAAACACACACCCCAGACATGGCTCAGACTCATGTGAATGTAACCAAGGGACGTCAGGGCACAAGGAAGCTGGAAAGAACCACTGTTTAAAAGCTGAAAGCCAGTAGCAGAGTAGCCATTGGTTTTCATTTTAATTATTTTCGCTGTCATTAAGGAGTCACCAGTTTATCTTTCTCCCTCTTAATATCATTGCAAAAGTTATTTTGCCTGATGTTTGGTAGTTCTGCCAGTTCAAAGTATAAAGTACTAGAGCATGTGAAATTAAAAAAAGGAATGTCTTCAAAGGTCACTGTCAAGCAATTTTACATTCAACTTTAATATCTTACATTCCAAACTAAAATGAAAATAATTACATCCAAGCAAAGATGTGAGTGAGAGCTGTTTTGCAGTTTTCTTGCAGTTGCTCACTGGAGACGTGCAGTCCTCCCCTGGCAATGCTGGGGACTGGGAGCCAGGTAATCGTACAGGGCTGTTTCACCATTTAAAACCTATCTCTTGTGGCAAAAAAATGTTTTGCAGGACAGTGTTGGGCTTTCAGATCAGAAGCAGAGGTCAGATTATACAGAAAGGTGATGAATAATTTTCTTTCCTCCTGACTTGTCATCTTTCAGGATTAATCAGGTCTGGGGAGGGGAAGAGGCTGATGGGTGTCCCTTGGGGCAAAGATGCAGCTTTGTTGTAGATGGTGTCTGAGCTGATTAGAAAACCAAACCATACCAAAACAAAAACAAAAACCAAACAAACACCCACAAAAAAACCCAATCAAAAACCCGATCCAGCAGGACAGATTCTTTTTTTTTTAATTGCAAGAAAAAAGGTAGGGATTTAACAAGTTTTCCTTTGCAAATTCACTTTTCACTTTCCAACCAGCACTAGCTGCTGTGGAGGTACCTTTGGGCTTTCTGTATGGAACAGTGAAGTAAAAAAAGCTATTTTTATTCTCAGCAGCTGTGAGAGGTATTCTTAACTAATGACAATTTGGCTGGAGCCCAGAACATGTATCAAACTCCCCCTCCTTTGGATGTTATTTATATTTTACATCCAGAGTTTTAAAATGCAACTATAGGTACATATTCAACATTGAAGCTTTAACAACTGAGGAGTGGGTTCTTTTTTGAAAGAGGTGTTTTTTGCCTGCAAAGAGGTGTTTTTTAAGCAAAAGCAGTGCAGAGCAAATATATATATATTTTTTTTTTTTTCCCCCCTCCTTCTTAGCTATTGCAAAAGGTCATGGAGAATCAGCCTAATTACAAAAATCCCTACTCTTTCTTTCTTTTGGAAAAAACACCTCTTCCTTTCCCTGACAATCAACAGCAATCCTGTTTCTTTTTTACATTGCTTTTGAATATATAAAGTAGGCTAACTATTATGTGCATTAAAGAGAGAGAGCGGCTTGCTCTTAATAAAACCTTTCCATCCTTTCAAAGCCACTGGCATGCTTGATAAGCGTCTGTTGTTCTGTTCAGTAACAATTAGAAAATCAGAGTGTTTCCAAGCCCTGTGAAAAGAATGATGAAATGAATACCTCTTCTGCTACACATCTGTCTACCGAGCCCCTCCCTTGCCTAGCTACAAATGCGGAATGACATAAGAAAAGAAATTATAATATGCCTGGTGGTGTTGACTTAAACAAATCAAACACATCAGTCAGTTAAAAACTCAGCTGCCATCATCCATTTCGTCCTCCTTCCCCCAGATTTTATAGTATTAGTTGGAGGCTCCCTTTCTGCGTGCCTGACTTTTTAAAATAGAAGAGAAATGCTAAAGACATATTTATCTGACTGCTTTGCAGCAACATGGTTGGCTGGATATTTGCTCGCTGCTGCTTCACTTTGTTGTTGTTGTGGCACAACCAATGCCTGGACACGCTTGTGACTCCTCCACCAGTTCGCCTGTTTATAGCAACTCAGCTAGTTGGCAGGAACGGGCCAATTTTAGAAAGTTCTCCAGACTTTTTTTCATAATCTTTTAAACTCAATAGATATTTCTCCTCATCCCTAGTAAGTCCATCAAGTCTTTGTCCAGAAACATGAGATTTTTTGGTAATTAAAGAGTTGTTAAGCCCTGGAAGAGTTTCCTCAGCTGCACAGTGATGAAATTAAAACTCAGCGTGCTTAGCGGCCGGGGGGCTGGATGATAACAGGACACAGCAGTCAATCAGTTTACTTTCTCTTGAGATTAAATATTTAGGTAATGAAGGAGGTGAAAAACCAGTTCCTTTACAAATATTAACTTGGCCTGACCCTTTCAAGAGAAGCATGGAAGAAAAGTTACTTGGACTCATTTTTTCCTAGATTTTCAGTGTTACTTCACTCCAGACAATGTAGGAAGAAACAGCAAGAAACGTTTATTAAAATCCACGGATGCAAGTCTCCAAAAATGATTGGAAGCTAACTTAAACTCAGCCATAGGTCAGGGCTGACAGGAGCCAGCAGGAAGTGACTATTGGATATCAATAGTTGCCATAGCTGTAATGGAAAATCTACCTCTCCATCTGTAATAACATTGCTAGGCTTCTGGTCAGTGCAGGTTTGCAGGTTCACTCTGCATTTTGTAGAAGAGATGCGATGTATTCCAAGTGAAACTAAAGCTTCTCTTTCACTCTGGCCATATTCATTGAGGAGCACAACTCAAAAACGGGCTGAAGTATCTTGTACTCCATATATCCACTTGAACAGCGAATGGAAGCTTAAAGCTTGGCTGTGGTATGTGATGCAAGACCACTTAAAAAGCAGCTTAGTCTGCGTGGCTGGCTGATGTCAGCCCTGTAATAATCTTGTGGAACACTACAGAAGCAGTGGGTGCCCTTCACCTGGGTAGGTAGGACCACACAGAAGGGATGTGAATATGCTTAGGTATGTGATTAAGCTTACTTACACCTCCAAAAATTTCAACCCACTTCCAGACTTTACCATTTTCGCCCAGACCTCCATGTTAGCACACCCTGTATCCAAACACTTAGGCTGTTGGGTTTAGGTCCAAGCCCAGGCTCAGCTCCATCAGTCACCCATCGCACCACACCCATCCCCAATGAAGGATGAAGGTACCTTTCTCTAGGCAGCTGGTGGTTAGGATTGTGCCGACACCGGACACTGAGGCCAAAGAGTTTGCGGGCAGTGCGCTGGATCTTCTGGCGCTGGGCTTCCAGGGAGCTCTGCAACAGCTTGTAGCGGTTCTGCAGATCCCAGTCGTTCCCCCAGTGCTGGTGGATGCTCCCAATGGTCAGGAAGTGGTTGCTAGGTAGCCTTTTCATGAAGGATTTAAACTCATCTGGAGAACACAAAAATGTGGAGAAATACAGAGGTTTCTGAACTATAACAGAGTTACAAAGCTTTTTATTAGCAGGATAGAGAAACAGCAATGATATATGAGGCCATCAATGCTCTGCTAAAGGAAGGTGATGTCCATTAACTCACTGGTCTGTCATTCTGCCCCAGGAAGCTCACTAATTCCATGGCTGTTGCTGCTCCCGTATGGGAAATGAAACCCGGAGAGTATTAGGGTGAAACAATATGGTTAATATGTACAGGATGGAGAAAAAGAGAGAGCAAATTGCCTGGAGCATGGGATTACAGTCTAGGGGTTATGAACAAAAAGCAGGGAGTTGTAATCATTGTCAGTTAAAGAGTTCTCATTTAAATTGTTTTTCAGCTGCTCCTAAAATTCCTTTTGTTGTTGAAGTCAAATCACTTCAGTTGTGTTGTTAAAAAAAAAAAAAAGGGAAAAAAAAGCTTTAAAAAATCCCCAGAGGAAGGGTTTGGGTTGTGTTAAAATATCCTGCTTTCTCATTTTTTAAAAAGAGCATTCTGATTCTTTTTTCTCATTTAACTTCATTTGAAGTTAAATGAGTTGCTTTATGTAACAATGAAAATAAAATAAAATAGTTTGCAGGGCTAAAGTCAGAATAAAATGTGTCAATTTTAGCCAAAGGAAAAAACCTAATTGATCCAAAAATATGTTGTTAAATGTTGTTTTGTGATCACTTTATTTCCGTTTGATTTTGTTTGATAATGAAAAAACATTATGTAGGGTTTGTCTGAGGTTTTTTTTCATCACAAAACAGAAAATCTGATACTCTTTCTGTTTATGAGCACCCCTTTCTTCCTAACTGAGAAGTATAGTTTGCTTAGACTGTGATTACCAGGCTGGGACATCCTCGTATGGAACAAACAGATGGTTCCAACTTTCTCAGTAGAAAATAACCCAATTTTTGATATCAGAAAACTATGTTTGACACACTGAGACCTTAAGAAACGTGAGCAGTGAGCCAACAAAAACCCCATAAAGTGCAATAAAGAAAAGAACAAAGCTCTGCACCAGGGCAGAACAACCCCACGCATCAATACAGGCTTGGAAACAACCAGTTGAATACCAGCTGCTAGAAAGGTCCTGGGGGTTACGGTGGGCACCATGCTGAAGGTGGGTCAACACTATGTTCTCACTGGAAATAACACAAACTGCATACTGGGCTAAATCCGGGAGGTTAGGGAAGTTAATTCTTCTTGGCACTACTGAGGCTGCACCTGCATTTCTCTGCCCAGCTTAAGGGACGCCAATTAAAGACGGGTGTTGAGAAACTGGGGAGGGCACAGCTGAGGGCTACCGAGATGGTCAAGGGCCTGGAGCACAAGTCCTACAAGGTCAGGTGGAGGTAGCTGCACTTGTTTAATCTGGTGAAGGAGAGGCCAAGGGGCAATCTAATTACAGCCTACAAGTACTTAAAAGGTACTTACAAATACGAAGGAGAGAAACTCTTCTTATTAGAGACAGATGTTATAACAAGGAGTAATAGACAGTTTGCAGCTTGAAAAGTTCAAATGATTTATTGAAAAACTTCTTCACTTGGAGGTAATGCAGCACTGAAACATGCTGCCCGGAGATGTAGAAGAATCTCTCATTTTAGACTTTGCTAGACAAAACCGTGGCTGACTGATCTAGTGCTGGTGGTAGTCCTGCTTCTAGAGGTAGGTGGACTAACGCCCTGCCATAAACACCACGAAGTATCCAAAAAGAAATGCAGCCATCTTTTCCTGTAAGTTATCTACATTATTTTTCCTCCTTTCCTAATCCTTTTTTTTTAAAAATTCCTTCACCCTATTTTCAGAAGGAAAAGAGGACAATAGCCAAAAAAAGGGCAAAAAATGAAAGCTTGTAAAGGCTGATATCTTTTCAAAAAAAGAAATAATCCATGGAATTATTGGAGAAAATCAGACCAGATAATTTACAACCTATTCTACAAAGCTTATATACATTTGCATAACAGATTTCCTATTATTCAGCAACTTGCAGTTCATGCTTAAATGCCTAACAAAGGATATCTATGCATTAGTCAGTACCATCATTATATAGATGGTAAATGGATGTTCATGTCCTACTCGTCACATGGTGAAACTGAGCACCTAATAATAATAATCATCATCATTGCACTATCAAGATCCATGGGACATCTGCTTGTCTCCTTTCTTCCCCAAAGATAACTGAGAGATTTTTTTTTTTAATCATCTCTCAGGTTTTCACTCTATTTGTAATGCTGCTTTCAGTGCCCTTCTCCTCCCCAAAAATGATTCTCTCCTGTTCAGTGGTCCTCTGAAACTATCATCATGTATAATTGCTTCTGTTGACCATGCTGATTACTCCTGGTACCTTTCAGCGGTAAAAGCCTTGCATTTGCTTCCCGCCCCTTATAAATCAATTTCCTCAAAAGCCTGTTTGTGCAAAAGACCAAGCTCTTTTCCCTCTGATGATGAATGTGCTACATTTTTCATAGAGACGGGTAAGGGAGAAATTTCAGTGCTGTGTGCACATTTTGATACTGCAGTGCAACGTTGGGGGAAAAACAAATGAGCAAAATAAAAGCTGTATGGGGTTGTTTTAAAAAAGGGGGGGTGAAAAAAGAAAATACTTTCCAAAAAGAATAGTTTCTTCATTATTTATTTATATTTAACTATCCCTGGAGGCCCCAGCCAAGACCATGGCTGCATTGTGCTAAGCCTTGCACCTTTCTGGGAATAGTTCATTCTTAACCCTGAGAATTTCCAATTAACTAATAAGGCTGTTTGCATTTGGTTTTATTTTATTTATCTGCACAGAAAATGTTGATGATGGCTAGGACTACATCTCCCATAATGCAATGTGGCCCCTCTTTTTGCAGAGTCACCCAGTCCTGCAGGCAGTCCCGTGGCAATGACTCATCACCGCAGGTGGTTCGGGGCAGAGGGTCCCGCCTCTGGAGAAGAATGGTGGCACCACAGCAAAATGGCCACGTCAAACATCTCTTTCAAAGATGAAACTTTCATTTTTCCAGTGCTTGTCTTTTCAGATAAAAAAATCACATTTTTATCAGAAAGCAATAGTGCTGTAAAAAGACCCCTATGACTTTTAATCAAAAGGCTGTTTTAAAATCCAGAATCACAGTCCTGACACAGAATTTTTTGGCCAGCCATACTAAAATGCCAAGAATAAGGCACATGAGCAATGAAGCACAGGACTAAGAGAGAGCTCCTGAGCTGATTTAAAGCAGCATCACTGCAGCCTCCTTGACTTTGAAGATACTATCCCAAATTACACCAACTCTTGATTCGCCCTGCACGATTTTTTCAAATTGACATAGGAATCCAACACAGATCAGAAACAGAATATAGATCTTCTAGGCTATCAGCAGCTTCCTGTGCAAATGGTATTTGCTTTCAGAGCACTCATGTGCCTTTCAGCCCACTTTATTGGAAAAGCCTTCAGATGTCATTAGAGATTTCTTTTCTGCTGTTTGTTATGAAGAAAATCCTCTAGTTATTGGGAATATTTATTAAAACAAAGAAGCAAAATACTAATACTACGTTCTTTTGTGATAGCAACTTTCATCTCAAAGGATAAGTTCACGCATGATGCAACAAACTGATGAATGAGATGCAGCAGCTTTAAACATAAAGATAATCACTCCGTCTAGCCCTGAAAAGCCTCCAGCCCTGGGTGGAACATGGCTACAGCACAGCAGAGAATTGCACTGCAATATGTCACTTTAACATGGCAAATGAAAAACACCTTCCCCGGTTGAAATCTCAAGGGAAGGGAGCCTGCATATAATTATCTACCACAGTCTTTGCTTAGATCAAGTGCAACAAGAATGTAACAGTAAAACAATCATTGTGGGACTGTAATTATTCTCTCTCCATAGGGCTCTCACCTTCCAAGTGTCTGGGTTAGATCCCCTGGGAATGTAAAGGGGTTTGATGAGTGGTGGCCAACATGTGTGGCTCTTGAGCATCTTGTGTGAAGATCCTGTGCCAGAACTAGGAACGAGTAACAGGTAACTAGTGGCAAAGCTGTGCTGGCAGGCACTGCCAGTAGTCCTTATTTGTCTAGTACTGAGCTAGCAGAAGCTGCTGAAATCCACATATTTCAGGTTTGCCCTGCTGTACCCACCCCATCCATGAATCTATAGAAACTCCCAGAAAGCCGCTTCAGCTAGTGACCTACTTCTGGAACTGCCCCAGCCTTGTGGCTCCCCAAAGTATATGGGGGGCTCTTGTCAAGACGGTCATCAGCCTTGGGCCATTAACTACTACTGTGACTTTGCTCAGCTGAGCACCAAGTTGACAGCGTGAGTTGGACATAAGAATCTGTGCAGCAGCAGACACACCAGCAGGGTCCACATATTGAAGTATGAAGCAGTCCTCAACAGGCTGTTGAGGAAACATCATAGGCCACTTCACTTCAACCATTAAAGCGATTCAGATGACCTTCAACACGAAGAACGAAATTGCTGCTGGGAAGACTTCTGAAGAAGAATTCTTCAATGCCTTGAATGGAGCTAGATGTTCCCTTCCTCATAGTTTTCTTTCCTAACATGGAGACCTGGACAGTTATGACAATAATAATTAAAAATGATGTGTTGGAAAGTAACTGGCTAACACTAAGAGATGAGAGGCAGCCCAGGGATAAGAAGTTCTTGATTAAGTTCTGTTTAGTGTCCATGTGGCTGCAGGATAGGCAGACCACTTGCTAAAAGAAAGGATGTAATTGCACTGATAATATTGTTCTCTTTCCTACCTCAAGCCCTTGAGAGTGATGTTGCACACCTACTATGGGTGTTACCAGCATCAGTGTGGAACAAACTCCGCTGACACCCCCAGCATCACACTGGGAGAAAGTGAAGGGAGAAGAGAAATGTTCACACAGCAGACATCGGCACTGTAGGAGAGAGAAGTCATTTTCCCTTCTCCTCTCTATCTCAAATGAGGTGTCATCTGGCCCGTGCTCTCTCTCTGTGAATTGCCTTTCACCAAAGCAGAATAAATCATTCATGCAAATCTGAAAAGCAATTTCTGCATCATTTATATTGTGGAAGTTTCTCTGTAGAACTATTAAAGAGAGATTCTGAGCTGGTTTAGTACGAAAAACCAGATTTTTAATCAAACAAACTCTTCCATGGAAAATATCCCTTTATACATAGAATTACGCGTGGTGTGTGTTTTTGTCTATATGTGTATAGAGAAAAAAAGGCACTCCCTCAAGACTAAGATCACGTTTTTGGGTTCAATAGCCTCTATTTTTTATCCAAACTGGAACATTATATTAAGGGAAGAAAGGATTCTTAACATGCTTTGTTTGAAACAAATCAATCGGAAAATGTGTTTTGTTCGGTTACCTGAATTCTCCAGATCTTTATAGGCTTCTGTCCAGGTCTTGGCCATGTTTGCTAGTGTGTACTCCATGATCTGGATGTCGGTGATGGGACAGTTGCACTGCGGGAACTCCTCCGCACACTGGCAGCCACACTGGCTGTTCCGGCAGATGTACTCCCCCTCGCCATTGCACATGATGTAACTCAAGGCAGACTGGACAAACTTCTCTTGTAAATACTGAGGGAAGATGATCTGGAGACCTGGCATAGAAACAAGAGGCAAGGATGTGGGGGGAAAAAAAAAAAAGTCATTTCAGGTATCTGTTCTTCTTCTCAAAACCTGTTTCATTAACATCTTGGGAAAGCGATGCTGAGGAATTAAAAACTGCTGGGATATTTCTCTCGGAGCTGCCATGAGTAAGGAAGGTGGGGTACAAATTGCATGCCTCCTGCGCAAGTGGCGAGTTAGCTGCGAGCCCATCTGCTCTGTGAGACAAGGGTGACAAGTAACTTCCCCCTCCCCAACGCCCAGTGTATCCCCTTCATCCCAGTCCTGGATCCCAGTACAATACAAAGCATCTGAATGCAACCCTCCTTTATTCCCAGGTGGGGGTTTTTTTTATACTTTGCAACCAAGTGCTAGCTCAGAAGTGATGAGCATTATGCTGTTCTGACCTGTTTTGAGAGAGACTAAATAGGTTTGGTACCACAGAAACAAGGAAACTACACACTGAAAGAGAAAAGAAGAAAGAAAAGAAAATAGAAGAAAGGAAAATAATACAAGCAGGGATTTATAAAAGACCCTTGCAGAGTTAAGTGCCCAGCTCCCACAGTATAAATACTGGAATTGGGTACCCGAGTCTTTTCAGCTCGCTCCCTGCTAGGAAGGCTACTTGCCAAATCCTATAAAAGTGCAAATGGATTTAGTGCCAACGATTTCAGCGGTGCCCTGAAGATTTACATTAGCCGAGAGATCTATCCCCATGTCTTTTTCTCCATAGCAAGTGTTTGTGTATCCATCCATCTGTGCAGGCATTAGTGTAGGTGTACTCTTGCTCAGGTACCAGAGGACACGATAACAGTTTAAGTGTTTGCCCTGTGTACAGTGTACGTGCTCTTCGCTCCCGTCCTTCTCCAGCCCCTGTCCCCGGGCTCCCTACAGATGTCCCTGAGGATTCACAGCCGCTTCCTTCTACCTGGCGAGCCCTGCTTGTCAGACTCCGTCAGCATCTGCGGCGCACGAGGCAGAGATGACAACAACTCTGAGCGAGCCTTTCGCGGGAAGCCTGGCCCGCTTCGCCTTCCTTGTAAAAGGCCCAGGGATTTCAGAGTGGCAGATAAAGGAGTTTATGGCTTGAACAGCAGTGCTGAACTCCAGTGTAATGAAGGCACACGGGTCAATTACCCATCTGTTTGTGTTTCTATTGCGCTGAATTACTGTATCCGTGGCTGACAGCTCATTGGAGTGGAATGAAAATAAGACAATAATTCAGAGGATGAGAGTGTGCGGGAAGGGCAGGAAGGGCTGTGACTCCTTTCAGGAGTTCAGGCCCATCTCTGATGGGTCATGTTCACCTCAGACAAGAGAAAGGCGGCAGGCGGTGCCTCAGGGACCCCCATTACCCTTTTGCTTTTGGTTCCACAGAGACACCTCAGCCTTGACAAGGTCCCTCTGGAAGACCAAGCCTGGGGGATCAGGAAGGTGTTGAAGGCAGAGGGACCTCTGTTTCCTCTCCCCTCCTGCTATTGCCAGGGCACAGTCTCCGAGAGCACCATGGCCGGTGGCAGCAAGCTGCCCCGTTTTCTGAACTAATTCGCAGTCGAGCGTGGAGCAGGGGCAGCCGGCAGGCAGGATGAACGCAGAGCAACGTTCAGCTGGAGAAGACGTTTGTGACACTTGCACAAGGAAGGATTTCAAGCCCGGCATTTGGAGGCACTGCGTCTGTGTAGATCCTGCTGCCTTTTCTGCAGTGCCGCTGCAGGGAAGGGAGGGAACGTGCAAGGGGCTGACCACAGTCTACAGCATCCCTGCGAACACCTCAAAACTAGTCTAAGGAGGATCAGCATTTTGAGGTCATTTTGGTCTTTCCTGAGATGTTTCTCGGTAAGAAGCTCAGCTTTCCTCATGTTGTCTTCAGGAAGGACTGAAGTTCAGTCTCCTGCATGGATTTATCTGAAGCAACCACCACAGAGGAACGGTCCCTTCTCAAACTTTCACACTGACATTAGGGATGGTCCCACCTGCCAGACTCCAAGAGTTTCCTTCAGGATGGAAAGAAAGTGGAGCACTATTGGAGAACTGAGATCTACAAAAGGGGCTTGGAGAGCCTGAGGGCTGCAGTTCTCACTGACCTTGCAAGTTCACAGGAGAGCAGGCTGGACTTCTTGATGTGCATTGACCCTGTTTATTCACGGTCCAAGGCCCATGAATAAATCTTTCCACTCTCTGCTTCATGGAGGAGCAACCTGCCCTGGTTGCTCCTCCAACCTTTGAATATGAGGCCCAAATGCCTGCAGGCTCTTCAGCTCACCATATTTTCTGTTTGAATTTTAACTTGGACAACAGCACTGACATACTCTCTTGATCCCAACTACAAATGATACTGGCTTTGGAGATTTTTTTCTGGAGTGGAGAGGGGTAAAAAAAGCAACTAAAATTTCAGGGAAAGCACTTCCCATGGCAAGGAGCATCTGTTGAATGCAGAAACATGAATACCCTGTAATCTCCAAAATATAACATGGCCCCATCCTACACTATAGAGTGCCTCATGTGGATGCTTGCTTTTTGTCCATAAAACTCATCGTTTCTAAAAAACATTTCTAGGATAACCTTCTTTTGTAAGAAAAAATCTCATGTTTAAGAGGTAATCAGACTCCCTGTACACTTAGCAACAATTCAACAAAACGCTTCTATAAATACTTAACTTTAATCAGGTAAGCAGTTCTGCTGGAATCCATGCAGTTAATTGTAGTATTTAACAAGCAGTACATATTCAAATATGTGCTTAGACCAGGAACAAGTGACACACAAATCCAGCTACTCATCGAAACACGAGTGTGCATACACCAAATGCAAAGCCCTAACTTTAAAACTGCAAACATGCCGTAGGGATTACATGCGACTCAGAGATCTTCCAGCCAGGAATTTCCTTGTGGAAGAAATCAGTGTTAGGGTTACTGAAATACAACCACGCCTGCTTTCACATTTGTACTTTGACATATATGTATAAATATTCACACATTTGTCATCATTCCCAGACACGGGCAGATTCATATCAACATTTTTGGTTTTGTATTGAGCATCCTTGTGACCACATCCTAGCAAGATATTTTACAAGATTTGGGCCAGTAGGATCTCACCCACTCCTGGTACCCTCCTCCATCATTCATACGTACTTCTGTACCATGCCCAGTGACTAAATATTGCTGAAATTGAATTGATTACAGCTGTCAGTAAAGCACAGTTGTGATTAATCATTTTTAAGGTAAGCTTTATAACATGAGGTTGTAAGACGGCCATACTGGTTGAGACCACTGTTCTGGGTGCTTCAGTTGCCACCTTTAAAGCAGAAAAGCTGTAGTCCCACAGACTGTAACAGCGCACCAGCCCCACAGAGCAGCTTGCAGCCAGCCATGCTAGCTGGGAAAGCTCTGCTGCCAACCACGACCTTAATAAAACATCCCAAGATGCTGTTTTGTTCTCTAAGAACTTTCTTTGAAGATTGCAAACATTAAAAAAAAATTACTTTTAATCTTTCAGTGTTGCCTTTTGATAAAGCAAGCTCATCACCAGCCGAGCAGGGGGGCAACCTGATCTTAAAGACTGAGATACTGGCCCATTTTCATGGGGTGAACACCTCAATCCAAGCCAGGGTGCACAAGGAACGGGCTCATCCTCCGCAGCAGCCTCAGGAGCTGATAACACATGCAGAAGGTAAGTTTGCTGGTGACAAGCGTTAGGGAGAACGTCTTAGTTCTGAAGGTAACTTATTGATCAGAAGGAGGAATTCTGCCACTCTGTAAAAAGTTCCCCTTTAAAAATTAAGAGGAGCACGGATTTGGTATACGTTTAGGCTTAGATAACTACAGGCAGAATATGAAGTGTCTGACAAGGGAACATGTCCTTAATTGACCCAGAAAAACTGTTAGAGAGAGATGTTTGGTTCTGGACTGTGTATAAAAGGCTTCCTCCATTAAAAGAGGTAAATTTCCCCAGCTCTAAATTAGAGCTATTTGAAACATTTTCCACAGAAGAGTTTTCTGTTGAAAATGCAGTTTCATTGAAGCATTTTGTGAGAGCATGTTGACTCTAAAAACACTTTTGACAGGGAAAGGTCTAAATGTATTTTTCATGCTTCCTTATTTTGTTTCGCTGAAAAGCTGAAATGTTTTGTGTTGTCATTACTGCTCTGCCCATCTTGGCAGAGACTTGAATATTAATTGTAATGTAAATTTTCATATTCTATTACCATATTTGACGTAACAAACCACATAATATGCAATATTTCCCATTTGATGTTGCAATGTTTAGAATAGCACAGAAGGATTTTACCTTATTGAAATAGTGCCATGTTGCAATATTGACATATACTGTCACGCTGTCCAAGAGGATATGTCTGGAATTTTAGTTTCCCGAAACTTTTCAAAATATTGCTTTTCACTCGAATTTTCAAATTTCAGCCTAGGACACTTTCCCAGGGAACACAAATTCCTGTTTCCCACCAGACTGCTGTAGAGCTGTTAACATCTTCCCCCCGCCATGCTCTGGTTTATTCCTTTTCCAGGCAGCACAGGCAGCTTGTGCATCAGCCGCGGCAGAGGCAGGCGCAGGAACGGTTTCGTGCTGGTGGCAGGGACAGGAGGATACGAAGTGCAAATAAGTGCAGTCACCTGTGAGACCCCGGCCCACAACAGGATCCCCCCCATCCCGTGAGCGGAGGCTGCATCACCGCACAGCCCTCCCCATGCAGAGGACAGGGAACCTGCCCCCAGGTAGTGCTAGGAAAAAGAGCTTCTGAGCTACTGTGATAAGCATACCTGCATATATACCCCAGTGCAGGCATTTGGCACAGATGCACATGCATGCTGGGTCCACATACTGGTTTATAAATAAATAAAAAGTGATGCTTTTCTGTCCACGTAACCACAGGTGCAGAACCAGACACCCTGCGCTGTGTATGCATCCAGGTCCTCCCCAAAATCTCTAGGCTGGCTGACCTTCCCAAATCCTACATGCAGGCATGAAGGTAGCTTAGCGCCGGGTCTGGCCATTGCATCTCCTAAAGGGCACGTCTCTAAAACCATGACTCTCAGGGCTGCGCGGCAGCAAGCAAGTTCAGAAACAGAAATTCTCCCTGTCACGAAGATGCTGCTCTTTTATTGAGCCAGCCTCGGAGCCAGAGTGGCATGAGGGTAGTAACATGGATTTCTGTCAGCAGCTCATGCTCGGCTGCTAATCAGATCAGAGGAGACTCGGTCACGATCCATTACCTGCAGCCCTGTGACTAATTCCTAATGAGGCCTTTCAGAGCAGAGGAAGGATCCTGGGCAATTATCCCAAGAACCACACTCCAGATTAGGCGGAAAACACTCAGGTGTAGCTTTAAAGGTCACTTTGTTCTATTAGGAAGAGCTCTTACCTTCCTCCCTTTCCTCACTGTCCCCCTTGGCTGGGGTCTGGCCTCTCGCTGGGCTGGGTTATGCCATGAAGCTCCATGAAACCCACATGTAGTTGACCCCTGAGGTCCTCTGTCTGCTCCCACCAGAAATCATAGCCTCATCCACCTTACATCCTTTCTCTCTCCTAAATTTTCCCTCTTCCTCCGCCTCCTTCCCCCTCCCAGGCATCTTGCTTTTTCTCTTCTCTTGTAGGATCAGAGAGCCAATAGAGATCTATTGATTTCCCTGCTTACCAGTTTGTCTGCCTATAAACCAAGCTGTCTGCTTATTTAGCTTTTTACCTAGTTACCTCATGTGTCATCCTTGGGTTTTCATTACCAGCAGCCGTCATCACAGTATATAAAAAGCCTCAAATTGTTTATTGTTAATTAGGTAAGAACCAGAACTCAGTGATTTAGATAATCACTGGAATAGTGAAAACAACCTGCCTATTATTTTTAAAGGCAAATAATAACAACAATAATAATATATCCACAACACGACTCGGTAAATGAAACCCAGTTTCTGTGAAACCAAGATTAAAACAGCACTTGCCAAATTATACTCAAAGCAGAAGATGTAATGTAGCCCATTCATCTGAAAAATTAAAATTTGTGCAAGTACAAGGATTCCAGAAATAAAACCATCTGGGCAAATGAGCAATTAAATCCCACATTTCCTTATTTTGTCAAAAACCTGGGAATAACCTTAGTAAATTACACGCCCAGTGAATTTCCTCCTTCTACTCAAGTTGACTTCTTGCTAACCAGCATGTATTTATTTATTAATTCAGTCATGACCTCTATCTGTTGACTTCTGGACTAGCTCCCCAACTGGGACTGAAGCCATGGCTTCTAGCATCCAAATAAAACCTCTGTGACTTTTCCGAAAGATTACGGTCATTAGAGACTCCGAAAAGCTGATCTGCAAACCTCTTACGCAAATCAGCAATTTGGGAGGGACAAAGAGAGACATGGACAAAATGCCCCTTCAATATTAATGGAAAAGGTCACATTTATTTATATCGGTGTATGTATAATACTCAGAAGTCCATCAAAATTCAATGGCAGGGGACACCCAGACGCTTCACTGGGGTCCAGTCTGCAGTTCCTTGCGCCCTTAGCTCAGTCCCTGTCAAGCCCTGGCTCTGCTGTGCTGAGCATCATATGAAGCCACCAGAAGCCACCAGTCCTGCCTGGGAACTTACAGGGAAGGCAGCAGTCACAGCAAACAGAGGAGGGGAAAAGGCTAGGAAAAAGGCCACCCCTCTCTCATTTCACCCCCCCACTCCATGCCCTGTATTACCATCTCCCTCATTCCTGTGCCCTACCTTGCAGGTGGAGTTTGCTCTCAGTGCTTTGCAGAAGGACAGAACTCACAGAGTCCAGATTGTCGTAGCTGTTACAGCCCAGGGGGCCTGTCCGAGTTTCTGTTACCTATGGAGGATGTAGAAAAGAGAGAGTGTTCCCTTTGACTGCAGCATCACATCTTCCCCAGGCAGGTTCAGACCTTGTAATAGAATGACCCCTTGCCACCATCTGATGCAATGAAAATGCATCTTCCCTAATTGGGAAAAAATGCCCCACACCGGACAGACACAGCTAATGTTTGGCATACTCACAAGCTGAAAAAATACAATGAATTGTATCTGTTTTCTTTATGGTACTGCATGTTATTCTGGGCTTGGAAATGAGGTCTTGCAGATTGATGTTTCTCATAGAGGATCTCCATTGGAGAACACCAGAAGCCAGTAGAGGAATTATTCCCTGGCTTCTCTTATTGGAAAGCAAGATACAGAGATGGATTGCCAGCCCACAATGGTGCCTAGTGCTCCCACAACATATGTGCACACCATCCTTGTGCTGAGGATAGATGGAGGCACAGATGACCTGCAGTGCTGTTGCTGTGGTTGTTGCTGTTGGTTTCCAGCCATGGAGGAGAGCTGCCCTTCCTGAATTCACAAAGGGTGATTATCTGCTGTCACTGTTTCAATATCTCAATTCGATTTCCCATCCAGAAGGGAACAGACTCAGCCATGAGACACCACAGAACAATAACAAGAGCTGAAACCTTTCAGAAATGGCTAACAATGATGACTCCATCCACATTACCTTCCCTGGAGTGAACTCTGCAACAATAAAATCCCTCCCCAGTATAAGATGATTGCGTTCAGAGAAGGCAGCCTTTGTCTGCAGAGCCATTTTCCCTATTTTGTATGCTCTGAGCAGCTCCCCTTCCTTCCTGCTGCAACCCCCAAGCTGTCTCTCAGTCCGTTTCATTCCAGATGCCTCAGTAATGCCACACTGAGTTGTTCACCTTTTCTTGTAGTAAATTAATCTCAGAGATGTTTAGCAGTCTTACACCCACAAGAAGAAAATACTTCTGGGCTGCACGGGGTTGCCCATTTCACAGACCTGCCTTTCCCTTCCAACTTCCATCACTGATCTGGATTATCTGTTCCCTCTCTCCCTTCCAGAGGTCACTGCCACACATAGTGGAAGTCTCCTATCCTACATAACCATCACACTGAATGCCCACCTCTTTCCAGATATTACTGGCTCTGGGGAAATAAATTCTTCAGTAAGGTCCATAAGAGAACAATTTATCTGGGAAATCAGCATGGGGACAAAACAACTTGTGATCGAAAAAGACATCTCACTAGACTGGAAAAGTCCTGCCCCAAATCCCTACATTAATGGTATGACACACAATCTTCTTTCTCTTCCCAAGGCAACATACAGTACCTTGATTGCTCCGGTAGAGATCTGGATCTCATGGAGTCTCCTCATGGTGCCATCACGGTCTACAAAGTAGGAGGAAGCAAGCTGGTGCAATGCTTCAACGCTCTGGGTAGCGTTTCCTGACTTTCTGTCGAGGCGGCTTTTGTCCATGTACATGGTCAAGGCCTCCTCTCCTGCAGCAGAAAGAAAAGGAGATTTCAGTAAGGCCCAGGAGGCTGCCATGTAGGGTCATCTTAACAGGAACACGTGTTGTCACATGTTGCACCTGAAGAAAGAAAAGTCTGACACCTAAAGCACTCTTAAATGAACCCATCCTTCCTCACCAGTACCAGAACCTCTGCAGTATATATGAGCCTCCTTCTCTATCCACCACACTTGTAGATCAGCTCCACTGAATTGAGTAGATAACATTCTGGATGCCAGCACAGTTTTACCACAACTGTTAGAAAGGATTCAGACCATTTGTCCCACTTGAGGAACGCTTTTCTCTGTGGGCAGTGCCTCTGGAACAATGCACACCTGACCAGAGAAGATGCCACTTTTATGCAGTTCTCTCTGACCTGATTTCTAGAAGAAACAAATGATGATTTAAGTTGCAAATAGGAGATAGGTACGTAAGTGGGTACGAAGGACAAACAAATGCTAGTTGTACCTCCTTAGCTTCCAGTCACCAAGTAAAAGGGTAAGGGCAGGGGGGCTGAGTAAAGGAAAGCAATCAGAGGAAAGAGCAAATGAGAAAGTTAAGTTAAACCAACCACCCTTTCTGCTTTCTTTTTCCTCTCCTAGAGTCTCATTCAGTGAATTTAAGTGGAGAGCAAAAAATATTGTGCAAGATAAGGGACAACAGGTGATTTTGAGCCAGTAATCACAGAGAATCTGGGACTGAAGCAGTTAAGACCTGATAGCATCCTAAACATTAGCAGAAACCTGAATCTAACAAAAGATCTATGAAAAGGACATGAAGCCGAGAAGTAATATTTACCTAAAAGTTCAATTTGTGCTTTATGAGCCAGATTAAAATCCAGTTCATTCTTAACATAAGCCTGGCATTATAGAAGGAGTAAAAAGGTAGAATACCATCCTGCATGCTTAACATCTGAAGTTCTGATTTTAATAAATGAAGAGAATAGATACCTAGGGTAAGAATGTGCCATTTCTACATAGCTCTCTTAATGAGAAGAATGGTACTTGTTCTGATTTGATAGATGAACTACTGATGAATACATTGCCTCTGGCAATGACAGCATGGTCAAAAAAATGCACCACCACTTTTTAGGCCAAGAAATATTTTGCTCTTCAGCATTTTTGCCTTTTTTTTTTTTTTTTTTAAAGAGAACAAGCACTTACTTTTCTTAAAAATTCATATTAGCTGAAATTGTTTGATTTGTCCAAATAATTTCTTTTATTGCATACATGCAACAAAACTCCCAGTAAGCCCTCCCCCTTGCTTTCCCTGGAAATTTCCCAGCTTTTATCTGGAAGCCAAATGCCTGAAAAGAAGCCAAAAATATTCTGGCTGAAAATCAAAATATTTTTATTGATTTCAGTTTTTCAAGCGATTGATATGTTGAGGATTGAGCCTTTGGCTTTGAGATGAAAAATGGAAGTTTTTGGTGGAAAGACGACACTTTTCATCAAAAGAATTGATCAATTGAAATCTTTTAATTGGCTTCTCGGGAGCTAAGTGGAGAAGTTTGGCATGTAAAACTTTCCCTCTTCAATATTTTGTTAAAAATAACATACTATCCTTTGACCACAATCAAAGTTGTAGTACTAGCAGTATCATCATTGTTACTTCTCACAAAAACACTTTCCCTGGAAGATGACCAGCTTTGATTTCCTTTATCACCGTTAACATCATTATGCGTTAAGCAGTGTGAGGAGACCTTGGCAGGGATCAAGGCTCTGTCACATCAGGCTTTATCCACACAACAGCAGAAAGATGGTTCCTGTCCCACAGGATTTAAAACCCCCGTATCTGATGAGACACAACAGGCGTATACGACAAACAGCCGGCAAAGCACACGGTAATAAGATGACTGTGATTAGTGTGAGAAACAGCGGTCACCGCACACCAGATGCCTGGCTGCTGTCAATGCATTTTCAGGTTTCGTCTTTGAGGTGAGTTTTACAGGGGGATTTGAAGGAAGGTCAGACTTTGTGAATTTTCATGAGGCAACTTGTTTGCCACCGCAAGGATGTCTGCATAGTTAGCCAAGAGGTTTGGAGGAAGATAGGCTGGATCAGTGTGAAAGTGTTGTATTTTGAGCCAAAAGTTTTGTATCTCTCGTGTAATGGAAGTATTTATCTGCATGGAGACGCAGCAGACATAAATGATGCTTTGCCTCCTGTGAAAGGAGAGGGAAGACCTGGGATAATTCTCCCCTTAGCTGCGATTCTCAGAGGAACCTGTGGGATCCAGGTATCAACTGTTCTTCAATTCCACCAGGAACTGGAAAAAACAGCTTTTTGTGGAAAAATATCATGCCTTCTTTTAATAGCCAAGGCACAAAAATCGGGACCTTTTCAGTCCAGACCAGTTCATTTTAGTAGAGGAATGCTGAGATTGGAGGTTCTTTGGACAGGGAGCAACCAGGAAGCGTGGGCTGAATCGCATCAGGCAGTAACACTGGTTTCAGATCACCAGGACATCCACCGTTAGCTTTCGGTCCCCAGACAACACGGAGCAGGCAATGAGCAACTGAGACAGCTCCTAGACATCAGACAAGAGAAGCCTGTGCTCTAGGGCAATGGAGATCAGTGATTTCCCCACAAAAGCTGTCATTTTTCCTCCCTGAGGTGTTTGGACCCCTTCACTGGGAGGAAGAGGAAGAAGAAAGGAAAGTAAAGCCCAAGATATTTGATGCTTCTCCTGAGGGACAAATACTGTCCCTAGGAGTGAAGGGTGCTGAGCAGAAATAATGTTGCTGGAAATCTATTCTGTGTACTTGTGTGCAGACCTGGAAAAGCACAGCAACCCCATGGAGAGTGCGCATGAGAAAGCAACCCTTAGATCAAGAGAGGTTAATAGACTTTTGCTGCATTATTAAGTCTTAATTTCTCGTTTATTAAGCAGATGCTATGTTCAAAGTTGTCTTTCCTTCAGGGCTTTCCCTGCAAATTGGCTCTCAGCTCTGCGTGCTCCATCCTGGAGCATGGATGCCCTCAAAATGACCCTTCACCAATCCCTCTGTCAGAACTAAACTGGAGCAGAGCTGGGTTTTTTATTGGGTTCCAGGGGGACCTGGCTGCTCCGTAGGTTAAAAGGCATCAGAGCTGTTCCTCCTGTGGCCAGGTGTGAAAATAGCTGCTGTATTCAGGTGGGCTGGCCTGATCCATCATCAAGCCTCCTGGGCTCCATGCAACAGCTGGCATTTAAAAGCAAAACAATTTCCTGTGTGTTTGTCACTTGTTTGCAACTTAATAAGACATCAGGCTAAGTTTACAAACCACTGTAATCCAAAGCAGAATTCTTGTAACTTTTCTGAGGAGACCTGAGGTCTTGGGAGAGCAAGGGTGCCAGGACATGTCTGCTGTTATATCCCAGTGGTCTTGTTTAGCCCACAGACTGTGATTAGAGTCTGTCCTCTTTGCATAATGTATGCTGAGCTTCATCTACATTTTTTCTGGGACTGCCACTGCCAAGATAAATCCTTCTTTTCTCCCCCACCATTGCTCACCATGCTCCGGGCTAATGGAGCATTTAGCACTCCTCTCCAACACCAGTTCTCGTTACAAGCCCCTACATATTTAAAATTGTTGTGTTGTAAGATCAGGAGAAGAAAAAAGCCACTGTGAATAATTCACAACCTCACCCAGGCAAAATTAAAAGTATATTTTACCAGCAAAGGTCTTTCTTATTTTGAATTTCCACAGATGTGAGTGGCAAGAAGAAAAAGGCATATCAATGGAAAGAAAAATAAACCCACAAAAAAGCCTCTCAACACTTTACTGGATTCTTACTTGGCTGGCTTGGGCTCTGTAAAATATGGTCCTGAAAAGTGATTTCCTCAATAAAAAGGAGTTATCTTTACACAGACTTCATTAAGGCCTGATGCAGGCAGTCACTCGTACTCTTCAGTGCGTGGAAACCTCCTTTCTTTCACATTTCTTGCTGATGGAGCAGACTGTTTGAATGCCTGGGCTGGAAGAGCAGCCTGAGGTTCTTTGAAGGACATTTGCCACATGAGAGGCCATTTGACTTCAGTGGAACCACGCCAATTTACCTACCACCTAATTTGTGCATGAATCATGTGCACACATCTAATCTCATCTACGTCTCATCCGAGTGTCTGCAGAATGCTTTGGGAACAGACAGATGGCCACAAATTCCTCAAAGTTCACTACAAACTTCACAATGTGGCAAGGCTGGAGGTCAGATACATTAGAAGAAGCAACAGCAACAAACTCTGTACTAAAATTAAGACCCTTTACCACCACAGAATCCCTCTGACATAGTAGTTCTCAGAAGAAAGGCATTTAAATGCACACCCCGAAGGGGTAAAGAATGGTAAAAATAGTACAAGAGGAGGAAAAAAAAAAAAAATCAGCAGCAAATATCAAGAGGAGTTGCTGATTTTCACCCCTCCTGTGAATACTCGGTACTTGAATTGTTTATGCAGCACCAATAGCAGTGCACACACATGGATTAATGGCCCTACAGTACTGTCTTCTGTCATCACTGACATACTCCGCTCGCACACGTAAACCTCTCTGCAGTCCTTGCATATACATTTTGAATTTTACTTAACTGTTGGTTTTTTTCAAAAGTCTACTTCATGTTACTGCTTTCAGTCATGCGTTCAGCACAGGCCTTTCTGGCCATCTCTTCCCCTGCTCCCTGCCCAACTCCTTGAACTCCCTTTTCCTGGAGCTCTTTAAAATTCCTCCAGTTCCGGCAAAAAAAGGATGTTTTTCCCTCCTGCATTTGGTTTCATTCTGAAAAGAAGAGGGATCAACCCACACTATTGTCAAATTAAGGAGAGGGGCACAGGAATGACAGACAGGCTCCCCGGCTAAATGAAGCATGTTTATCTTGACACGCAGCAGTACGCGCACGCCGCTGTCAGAGCGGCGCAGGTGCACGCACATCACAGATGCCGAACTCGTGCGCATTGCGCTGCGAATTCATTTGCAAAGGCTATTCGTGCTCTGGGGATTTTCAAACCATCTGACGATGAGATGGGCTTTGGCTGGCGGAGCTGCAGCCTGGCTCTATGCTACCAGCCGGCCTCCACCAACACGGCCAAGGTTTGCAGGTGCTGGCCTTCACCACCCCACCACTGACACCCGCGTAAGAAAACAGCCCAGGTTGCCACCTACCTCCCAGGGTGGCAGAGATGAGGATGTGGGTGCCGTACTTTTTGATGATGGTATCAATGAACTGCTGCGTGGTGGGTCTCCTGCCCAGGAGGCGGATGCTCCTCTGAAACTCAGGCATCAGGGGCAGTGGATTGTGGAGCAGGTCCCTCCGCTCGATGGCTGTGTTCCTCACCTTCCAACGGGCAAACTCCCTATGCGACAACACAGGAACACAAGAGGGGTGAGGCTTTGAGTCCGGAGGGGCAGGGAGAGCCACCAAGGGCAGGGAAGGAGGATGGTGAAGGGGACAATCCTGTTGGACACCCCCACATGATACACACGTGAGGCCACAAGGCTAGACAGAAGGGGAGGGTGAGGAGAAGAGGAAAAGCAAGACATTACTGCACAATAACAACATACTTTGAGGATCAGGGTCTGGGCTGATGAAGAGGTAGTCTCAGAGTCTCCAGAGATGTCTGGCAGAGGACTGCATTTCCCTAGAAAGAAAGCAGCCTGGTCCTTTTCCCTCACACACTTTGGGGTCTTACACTTCTCCATAAAGGAACAAAGTCTGGGTTCTGTCAGCAAAAGAGCTGGTCAGTTAGACAGACTGTAGATCCAGACCAGTCTGATCATTGCTATGTCCCCAAGTCCACAAGCCTTCCTTGTAGCTACTGCTTTTGCAAAGCAAGGCTGAAGGAAACACTTTATCCAGACATCTTAATCTTTCATTACCAGGGAGTACAGCAAAAGATCATTTTGAAAAACAATATGCTTGATAAACCATCTAAAAGGATCGATTCAGATATAAGCAGAGGCCAGGATGAAAATGGAGGTTTTGTTTGTTTTTCTTTCTTTTTTTTAAAAAAAAAAAACTGTAAAGTGATTTTCAAATCCCTTCCTTTAAACTGATAGCAACTGTGGAAAAAAATAAAGTTAATGTTTGCAAAAGCAGCACTTTATTGCAGGTATCCATTTTGAAACAACACAGAGGGAAATGCCTAGAGAAAACCTTGCACACCTGCGATCTAAAAAGCAGGCCTCTGAAATACATCACCAGCTGAGCACCTAAAAGATGAGAAACCTATTAATGTCCTTTGAAAAATATTGAGCAAGGCCTTCTTAAAAGGAAAGGTTTTTATTTATAATCACTCTCCTACAACACACCTGTACTATCTTAAGCCATCTCCCAGATAATCAAGTCACAGGCTTCTCTGTCACTTTTCATTCACTTATTCCTGTAACTCAGGTTTAAGACAAAAATTTCATTTAAATAATAGGAATGACAATACCTGGCACTGACGCGGCACTTTCTATCAATGTGTGTCAACTAGCACCGGCAATCCCACTTTGCTTGTAGGGAACCTGACATGCAGGCAGATTTAGGAGATGCTGTAAGTCAGTATCACAAACCAGATTTTTTTTTTCCCCCAGGTTGATTCTACACCCAGTCCACTTTATGTGTGTAGGGTTATTTTACTTAATGCAATTATGCATGTATTTATTTTGATTGCACCCCATCACAACACCCCAGGGTGCCTAACAGCAGTTGCATTGATTAAAATAGCAAAGTGCCAGCTTTTTACTTGAAAATATCTCCTTACACCTGAGCTAATGCCCCCTCTGTAGCTCCTAGGCTTTCACACAACAAGTAAAAATGCCAAAACAAAACACCCCTTTTACCACATCCTAAGATTCTTCAGTGTCAAACCTTGAAATCCACAGAAACATCAGTCTTTCCTAGAAAAACCTCTGTCAAAAGGCAAAAAAACCCCAAACCCAACCCAAAAACCCAGACTAGGATCTTAATACCAGGAGTGGAGAAAACATAGACCTTTGGCCCTAAAGTTGTCTGCAGATAACAAGTGCATTACCAATGTCTATGTATTCACTGTATGGAGCAGAATATAGCTTTTCCTCTGCTGTCAGGTCCAATACTTGGTATCTGTGGAAAAGATACATTTAGGGGTCCCACGGTGGCTTTTAATGATAGGTAGAACCTTAAAAGTACAGACAAATTGCTTCTCTCTGACACTACAGAGAGGTTGCTCTAATCATTCGTGATCAGAGTGGTGATCCCAAACCCAGCTATACAAGGAAATCTCCTTTGCATGAAGAAAGGATCGGTCCCTTCAGGACACAGGAGTTACACTGTACGGGAAGAAGCAGATCTGGATGCTAAAAGGCAGGCAAGGTTTTATAATAGAGATTCCCATGCTCCTATCATAAAGATCATAACCGGCAAAGGTAGGAAAAACACCATCTGTGCTTCCTCTCCAAAGAGAGAATTATTACTTCCTGTAAAACTCAAGCACGCTTTTGCTCTCAGATTACTGCTTCCTGCAAGCATTATCAATAAAGTCAGGAGGGACTAGAGCCCTCCAGAGCCAGCAGGTTTTCAGAAAGGGAATGCTTCATGTTCCCAGACAAAGTACAGAGAGTTTGCTTTTGTTACTGTCAAGTTACCTATTCCAAAGCAAAGAGTTGAAGCATGCGACTGGTCAAGTAGGGTCCTGTTGATACATCAACATTCACATCCTCGGAGTGCCTCCATTCAGTGTGTGGGGATGGACAGGGCAAACAGTTACAATTAGGACCACGCACTGGAAAGCGGTGGGCAACAAAGATGGGAAAGGTAGAACAGAGAATGAAAATTTGGTGAAGAGTGTGTTCAAAGTGAAAGTGGGTTCATTTTTTACATCAGGTCCAACATCATCTTATGACACCACTGGCAGGAGGCAAAAGGAGAAGTTTAAAAGAAATCCTTGCCATATCTTCAACCTTGCCTGCTGCCAAGGGACAATTCCAGTCACCATTCATGCAGTAGGCAAGGCCTTAGCAGAACCCATATCTAAAACATTATAGTGAAGGAGACTTTTTCCACTCAGTTCTTATGCATGTCATCCCTCCCCAGGGCTTCCCACTCCTAGGGCATATCATTGAGGTGAAAGCCCAGTTCTATTATACTCTCCAAAAGCTTGAATGTGTGGCTTTCATAGCTGACGAGAAAAGCTGAGCAAATACGTTATGATGAATAATTTATGCAACTAACTTAAATGTTTATCTTCTGCTCATAGAATATCCATGAGCCAGTTGCAATTCCCTCTAATTTATGCATTATTTGAATTTACTTAGTGACATTTTTCAAGCTTTTTTTTTTTTAAGGTTTTGCATAGTATTTGGCTGTATTCTCTCTGTGTGCTGTTGATTGGTTGGGATTGGTCAAGCAAACGATATGGCATTGTTAAGCTTACTGATTAATGACCACAATTACATATTAAACTTGGCTTCCCCAGTTCCAGAATATTTTACATTGAAAACAACCCTCTAAATACTAGCAATCTTCCCTGCAACCTATAGAACTCTGTGCTGTAAGACACACCTGAGGCCAAGATTATGGTACAATTTTGGAAAATAGACTTAACATTAGTGGATATGGCTAGTGAAATCACTTAGAATTATTGAGGTGATTAAAAAAAAAGATATTTGCAGGGAACAACGGTATAGCTCTGGCCTTAAGAAATGATCCAACCTGTAGCTCCTGAAGTCTGTGAAGAAACACCTCCAAGAACAGGTTTTCTATTAGCTTTCAATACTAGACTTAATTGCATTTTCTGCAGAAGCAGCTACTACTGGCCATGACTGAATGCATGGCACCGGGCTAGGTAAGCGTACTCTCATCTGTTTGTCACCACTGAATCCTTGTATCTGTGAATCTTTGGAGGATCTACCAAGGCCTTGGATTCATGAATGATGTGTGCAAAAGGGCTCTGAAATCTTTCCTCCCAGAAGTCGTTCCCAGATGCCATTTCACTGATCATTGCTTCTCAGAACCACCAGTGACACCACAGTCTCAATGCCATTGCCTGGAAAGCACAGGTGGGGCCTCTACAGGTCTCAAGGCACTTTATAAAAGAGAAATATTGCACTGTTGCTTGCTTGTTTTCCAGGTGAAGAAGTTGCAAAGACTTGACTAGGATTATGATGGCACCCCATGGTACAGTTAGGATTAGTACAAGGTCTTCTGACCCTCAGGGGAAATCCCTAGCAAGGACCTGAACTTCTGCCAGTGGGGAAGCTTTTAAGGGCTTTGGAAAGATGATAAACCTCTTAACAAGGAGGAGGAAGAGTCTGTATCCCTGATGCAGAGACAGGATAAGGAGAAACTATGACCTAACGTCTGAGTAGCGGGGGAGAGGCACTTGTTTATGCTCTAATGTCTCGCCAGCGTAGACAGCCCGTGCTAGTGTGGAGCATACCCAGGAAAATGCCTGCCAGGTCAGCAGAGGGGAGTCTGCTCTCTAATGTCTGGTAAAAGCACTGAAGAGCCTACTCTTCTGATGGCTGGAAGGGGTAGGAAGTGCTAATGCCTAAAGGTGGAAGGGAGGTGAGAGGAAATAGAGGGATGAAGTACTGCCTCAGGCAGGCAGATACACATATTTCAGGCCTTCCTCCCCGTCACAATGAGGGGATACATTTTATTTGTATACAGCTATATCTGAGAAAATACTTGCCCCTTCAGAGTTTGCATTAATGAGCTCGCCATCAAGGCCATGCATGTCAGAGACAGGAATGTCTCAGTGCTCATGAGGACTATGACCCCTCCAGGGAAACAGAAAAAAGGGGGGAATAATGCTGAAGAGGGAGGAAAAGTCAAAAGCCTGGTATGAGCACATCACCCAGACCCCCCACTGCACCAGCGGAGAGCCTAGGAGAATCCAAGGGCATGAGCATCTCTAACCAGGGAGAGAAGTCTGAAAGAGAGAGGCCGTCGGAGCAAATTAAATTCCCCATCTTCAAATGGCCAAGACAACCAAAGGACGTAAGTGAAGAAACAAGTTCAGTACAGACCTCGAGGGCTGGCGCTTGAAACCAACAAGAAATTAAATGCATTAAACAATGATCGAGACAGAGTCTGTTTGAAAAAGGCAAAAAAGCAGAGCAGGAAGACACTGAACAAAGCCTGTTACCGTCATGCTAACTAGAACACCCCAACACCTCCTGCTGCTGGATATATTGCCTTCAGGGCAGTTAGTGCATCCCACTCACAGTGGGCACGCAAACAAGACCAGCCCCACCACACCCTGGGAACTGGGCAAGGAGAAGGCACCAGCTCCTTTCTGTTCAGCAGTTCTTTATCTTTTTTATAGATCATAGCTCAAAAGCCATCAGCTGCTCCCATGGGTGATGAGCAGACAGGGCCTTTCCAAAG